CCTTCCCTTCCCTTCCCTTCCATTCCCTTCCCTTCCCTTCCCTTCCCTTCCCTTCCCTTCTTTTTCCTTCCCTTCCCTTCCCTTCCCTTCCCTTCCGTTTCCTTCCCTTCCGTTTCCTTCCCTTCCCTTCCCTTCCCTTCCCTTCCCTTCCCTTCCCTTCCCTTCCCTTCCCTTCCCTTTCCTTCCCTTCCTTTTCCTTTTCTTCCCTTCCTTTTCCTTTTCCTTCCCTTCCTTTCCCTTCCCTTCCCTTCCCTTCCCTTCCATTCCCTTCCCTTCCCTTCCTTTCCCTTCTTTTTCCTTCTTTTTCCTTCCCTTCCTTTTCCTTTTCCTTCCCTTCCTTTTCCTTCCTTTCCCTTCCCTTCCCTCCCCTCCCCTCCCCTTCCCTTCCCTTCCCTTCCCTTCCCTTCCCTTCCTTTCCCTTCTTTTTCCTTCCCTTCCCTTCCCTTCCCTTCCCTTCCCTTCCGTTTCCTTCCCTTCCCTTCCCTTCCCTTCCCTTCCCTTCCCTTCCCTTCCCTTCCCTTCCCTTCCCTTTCCTTCCCTTCCTTTTCCTTTTCTTCCCTTCCTTTTCCTTTTCTTCCCTTCCTTTTCCTTTTCTTCCCTTCCTTTTCCTTCCCTTTCTTTTCCTTCCCTTCCCTTCCCTTCCCTTCCCTTCCCTTCCATTCCCTTCCCTTCCCTTCCTTTCCCTTCTTTTTCCTTCTTTTTCCTTCCCTTCCTTTTCCTTTTCCTTCCCTTCCTTTTCCTTCCTTTCCCTTCCCTTCCCTCCCCTCCCCTCCCCTTCCCTTCCCTTCCCTTCCCTTCCCTTCCCTTCCTTTCCCTTCTTTTTCCTTCCCTTCCTTTTCCTTTTCCTTCCCTTCCTTTTCCTTCCCTTCCCTTCCCTTCCCTTCCCTTCCCTCCCCTCCCCTTCCCTCCCCTCCCCTTCCCTTCCCTTCCCTTCCCTTCCCTTCCCTTCCCTTCCCTTCCCTTCCCTTATTACCCCTTATGTACTTACCTTTATGTCAATACACAAATGAGGAGGTGGATCCTTTATGCCCAGATGCCCATTTACAGTATGCCATTCCACAATGCCTCTTAATTCATCTTGCTTGTTTTCTGCAGGCTCCCGATAACCTGACCACGAGCCATGGATGCCCCCTCTCAGACAAGCTCAATTCCCTGACTGTAGGTCCAAGGGGCCCCATCCTCCTGCAGGACATTCAGCTCCTTGATGAGATGGCGCACTTCGATCGCGAGCGCATCCCAGAGAGAGTTGTGCATGCTAAGGGAGCAGGTAAGGATTAATTTTATTTTTATTTATCTTTTTTTATGGGTATTTTCTTATTTCTGTTATTATGATTGTCAACATTATTTTGTCAGTATCATTATCAGTATCATAATCAAGATTGTTACCATTGTTATTATTGTTGCCATTATCATTTGTATTAGTATTGGTATTATAAGTAGGTTTTATTAGTCTGTTACCAATATTAGTATTGGGATCATGATGATGGAATAGAGGGATGATGCAAAGGTTAGTTGAACACAGGCTTTGTGAAAAGGATTAGGTTGTTAGAAGTATACAGATTGTTTGGTACTAATGATATACACTATATTTACAGGTGCCTTTGGTTACTTTGAGGTTACACATGATATATCCAAGTACTGTAAGGCTGCTTTGTTCAGTGAGATTGGGAAACGAACTCCCATTGCTGTTCGTTACTCCACTGTAGGAGGCGAGAGTGGATCAGCTGACACTGCCAGGTAAGGTATATGTTGTGGAAATTAGGAATGAGAATGAGTAATTCCACATGCAAGATATGTAGTTAACAATTCATAAGTTCATCTTTGGCAGCATTATCTACTAAGGGTAGTTCTGTGAAATATGTAATATAGAAATGTCAGTTACATTTTCATTCAAACCTTGACTATTTTTGTCACATTGAACTTAATACATACGGTGGCTTTAGATTGTCATTATGGATATTATCATCTGATATTATATGCTTGCATTATTATGCTGTCTGCATGTGCAGGGGATTTACTCCAGGTTTCAAGTTCATTACTTATATATATGGCCTAGTATATGCTTATAGGCTGTGTACATCCTCCAGTATATTTAAAATCATGTTTGAATTAATTACCATGTTCTTTTATATATAAGATGCACTGTTTTCTTGAAAATTGAACATGAAAATTACCCTGCATATAACATGTCTGAAATGTAGAAGCTGAGGCCAAGCACCAAATGAATAATGTATATAGTTAATTAGGGCACTTGTAATTGTCCAGGGAACACATATATTAATTTTTTCGTGCAAATAATGTTATGAATACAGCAATGCAATACATCTGATAGCAAGGAAAAATTTTTTAATGGTGTGTTTGTGGTTTCAAAATGATGTAGGTTAGAAGGAAAGTGTCATAATGATGACAACTATACTAAGAAATTTTGCCAGAAACACTGGAACATTTTAAATATAAGAAACCATTTGCATTGAGGTTCCAAATGTAGCTTCACAAAGCT